CCCGGGGGAGCCGGCAGCACTGTACGGTCCCGCTGCCGGTGCATCCCAGTGACCCGGATGGTGCAGGGGCTGCACATGGCGAGGAACGGCCCGGGGCTGCGAGGGAGCCCTGGCCCCAAATATCCCGCTGAGATAGAAACGGGGGGCAAAATATCAATGGGAAAAATTGGGCACTTTGACAAAAGCCCTGGGGAAGGAGGGAGGAGCCCGGTGGGTGCCCCCACGCAGGTGGGGAGCGGCTGGGGCTGAGAGGAGGAGGAGGGAGGTGATAAATGAGCACCTGGCAGGGGGGCTGGCTGGGATGCAGCCTCACCGGGGAAGGGGGCAGAGGGATTTTGGGGGCTGTCTGCTCCCTCGAAGCCCCCAAGGTGGGTGTCCCCAGGGAGAGACGGGGCTGGAAAGCCCCGGCAAGCAGGCGGCAGGTCCTCTCGCCCCCTCGTGCTGCCGACATCTGGAGCAGGTAGGCCCTAAAATCAGCACTTTTGGGGCAAGTAAAGACATTAGAGCTGCCGCTACGAGGCTCTGCCGGTCCCGAGCCCGGGGCACAACACGCCGGGGCAGCCGCACGGCTCACGAGCGCATGCTCATCCTTGCATGGGGGAGTAAGGCAAGGGCTTATTTCCCCTAAAAGTACTTAATTCTAATTAATTGCTTCAGGTTTGATAGGCAGTTGCTCATATAAATTTAATTGCCCAGCAAGAGGTATAATTCAGCGCACATGAGCTGAGAACTCGCAAGTAACTCCAGCTGCTGGATTTACGGATCTCATTGCTCCGGCAGGGTCTGAGAGTTACATCCCAGCTGAAACGCTGGAGGCACAGCTTTAATCCCCCTGCACAATCTCCATGGGAAATGGAAACCTGGAAATTAAAGGATGGCTCCAAATGTGCTGCATTTGTGAGGAAAAGTTGGAGCTTAGAGGGGAGAAGTTTGGATGGGGCTGAGCCAGGGTTGTGCTCGGGGATCCTGCGGGAGCAGCCCCTGCCTGAGGGTGCTCCTGGAAAAAGGCCTGGCTGTTGAGTGAGCGAGGTTTAGCAGGCTTGTGCCTGGGAGGAGGAGGGCAGCCACAGGGCAAACCCCGCAGCATGCTCCTGCAGGGTTGCTCCTCTCCGGGTGGGAGCAGGAGGACAAAACACCGGAGCCACTCCGCCGCTCTGTCCGGCATTGGAGCTGCTCTCCAGGAGGGATGGCAGAGCAGCACCAGGAGGCTTTCCACCGGGATGGGAAGAGCTGGTGGCCGTGGTGTGGGTGACGAGCTCCGTCCCCTGCACAGACCCGCCGATGGGATGGTGGTGACAGCAGCCAGCGCTGCGGCCTGAGGACATCCTGACGGGTGGCTTCGTGGAGACCAGCTCCTCCAGTAACCCAGGTGACGCGTCGCATCTCCGCTGGGATAAGCGGTGGCTTGGTGTTCCTCGAGCCTGGCAGCGGGTCGGGTCTGAACAGCCTTTCTGCTGCGGGCGCTCTCCT